TTCACATTACGCTTTCGGGTACTGGAGGATTAGAGGTTAGCATGTTACGCACATCTAGTTTCAACAAGAGCTTTTAACTACCTAATTATGAGTTCGAAATCGCATTTTCTCAAAGAACACACAGCTATATTTGAGAACAAACACCACAAATGACTCTTTTTGAATGAATTAAAAATCCTGTAGAAATGCATCCCACAGCCACACACAGGAACCCCTTGAGCTGGATTTGTGCCCGAAAGACACACTCTCAGTCTCAAAGTAAAGACTACATTTGCATTTCCTAAGAGAATACTAGCGCTTGCAAGCCTGCAGAAAAAGAATATTAAGTTATTGTTAATGCATGCTTGAAAATGATCCAGAAAGAGAAGAAATCTGAGACGGAGAGAAGCGGAGACTCCGCTGACATCAGCAGCTCAAGCAGGAAGCCCACTATGACATCATCACAGTCGGAATCAGATTTTAAATCTGTGAAATGCGAGACAGATCTTGAATTCTTAACAATGATGTAATGCTGCATTCACATGCTTTGGCAACGCTCATAACAGCAAAACAGATCCATGTGCAGCTTCATCCGTGATGACACCAGCATACAGCATCTCACGAATATTGAAGGAAAATAATCAATGTGATAGAAGCAAGTTACCGAACACCTCTAACTCATCATTTTGATATGACATGACATCACAATTAGCAGGTGCAGATTTATAAAATTCTGAATTCGACAAGAACAAACTTTTTTTTTCTTTTTTTTTGGGAGAATCACATATATGTTCATACTGATAAGATGTAAAGGGTTAGCCATAATGCAAAGGGATATTTTTACACTAAATGTGTTAAAAGGCTCATAAATCAACATCAAGAAGTGTGAATCCAGTGCAGAAATGAAATGCAAGGTTGGAAACGTCCTAATACCCAACAGACAGTGGGTATGTTTCCTGAATCAATGGCAAGACAACAACAACAAAAACAACAACAACAAAAATATATGATTCATCATGCATGTTTGTAGCATGAGGTTATCCTTGCTGAGTGTCTTGAGCAATCTTGTTTATTTTCCAGTCGATTGGAATATATTTTCCATTGATGACTCAAGGCTATGAATGTTTGTTTGTCCATTCAGTCCAAACCACAAGGAGCAGTGATTCAGATATTAAAAATAAAGAAATATTTTTTTTGTTTTATATCAAGTGGTAAGCTACAGATACATCACCTCCCTGTGGCAGTACTAATGTTTTAGGGCTCTACATACAGGTTTGGTCTCTGAAACGATGCCTGAAATGAGTGGGAAGGAGCACGCACTTACTAATGAGCACAATGAAAAACATGGACCGCTGAGTCCGTTGCTATGGGAGACTCTCTACACACACACACACAACACACCAGGAACTGCGTGTGATCGATTTTCCCATCAGTGAATTAGTGCATTCCAGTCCTAGGGTGTAAATCTATGACTCAGAGATTACAGATTCAGGCTAAATCTGACATTAAACATCCATAAACATTTATCTACATAGGAAACCTTAAACTGATAGCATGTGTGCATCTGGATGCATCTGTGTATATAACTCATCAATGCTTTGTAAAGTCTAAGGATTTGATCTGATGTTTATAGACTCTATAAAACTCAAGTGCACCTCAGATTTTAGATGCTACATGTTCTTTTGTGCATCATAAGGTTTGCAGCAGAACTTGTTAGAAAAGGAGTTTGATGTTGAGAAACTAAATGCCTCTCCTCTTGTGAGCTGATTCATGCCTAATGCTTTAGATGACGATGGCTGAGCTGCGTTTTTGGATAAGAAGAGAGAGTTGCATATGGTTGGTGAAAAGAGATCATCGTTGTGAATGCAAGTTCGCACTACCAGTGTAATCTGATTCACAAACAATTGACTTTATGAACTGATTCTTGTAATGTCTCATGAATTAACAAGTTACCAGTTTCAAATCAGGCTGATGAATCATTCCCTAAATGAACTCAACGCTTCAGTGACCAAATTACCATGATTTAACTTTACCATTACAATGTCACTAATGCCTGCCAAAATTAATATAATAATCTTTAAATCATTTATTTTCATTAAAATGTAATATTTGCATAAAAACTAATATAAATGAATATAATTGCAGCTTGTCATATGATCAACTATTTAGTACTGATTTAGCGAAAAATTAATCAGACTGATTCAAACCAGTATCTTTTGTGCATTTGGTTCTCTTTTTGAATAATTTAAAAAGAACCGATTCATAAGAGTCATTTGTGTGTGAATCAGAGTACACTGGGCAAACAAACTTACATTCACAACTAAAATATGAGTTATTTTGCTGTGGTGCTGGAGATTCAGTCTCTGACAAACCACCAACCATGTTTAATTCTCCCTACTTATCTGTTCTTCAATGACACAATACGTGATATAGACACACAACATGTTACGCACATCGCAAAACTTGTGCGGTCAAACTTGTGCATATAGCAAAACCACTAGTGTGGCCTAGTGTTTAAAGATCTAGACTGGTATCAAAAGGCATTTAGCCTTAAATCCTGCAAGGCAAAATTTGTAAGCTATTAGAATTGGGTAATTCTAATGGTGTAGAGTAATTTACTTCAGATAAAAGCATCTGCTAAATCCTACTTACAGATGCTTTACCAGGGCACAACAGACCTGTTCTTTGGAAAATCACCAAAGACATTCCAAGGCCCCGTGTTTTTAACACAATACATGTTTCATTAGCTAATGGCTTTCAGATAAATGAACAGTTCATTCAACAAAAGGATTCGCATGACAACTTTTAGGGTTGCACTTCAAACTAAACTTGCTTTCTGTCTGTGCTGTTTTTTAATTGTCATTCTACAGTATGACCACATGGGTCCGACGGGCCGTTGCATTAGATCTGAATTAGCCAACTGCTTTAAGATTGCATGGGAAGCCAAATCGAACAGCTCCTCCTCTTTTTTTTTTAAAATAGCCAATAGCGTTTAGTTTATATCTCAGTTCGAGCTGTTGAGCTTGATAAAGCCGCAGTTTCCTCCTAATCTCTAACCGTTTCTCCTCTTAATCTCCTTCATATCGCTTTAAAATACAGCATTCAGTGCAGAATTCAAATGTTTTCTGGTCAGTGGCGACTCAATCACATGATTCGCTCTGTGTATCGTGTCTCTGGACCGGAGCTGCGGAGGTTCGCGTGACACTAACGTGACTTTTCCCGATGGAAAGCATATTTACACTGTCTGGATTGTTCCCTGTCCCCTATATAGTGCACTGTGTGCCATTCACCAAGTAGAAAACAGTAAATGTGTGAACAAGTGACCGATTCAGCCGCAGCTTCAGAGTCTATTTATAATGTAGGGGGCGGAGCTTCAGATTCTAGAGAGCATTTGATTGGACAGAAAATCTGATGAGAAGCTGAAGTGCAGAGTGATGTCATCAAAATCACTGATCCATATTGGCGGAAGTGAGAGACTGTAAGATTTAAATGCTTATATCTTCTAAATGCGAATTTTGTCAGCACACGTTAGTTCATAGATAACAGTAAGGCTAACATATTCATACTAAAAGCCTAAAAGCGTAAAGACTTAAAGACTTTAAGGCCTATTCACACCAAGAACAGTAACAATAAAGATAACTAACGATAACTATATTAGAGTCCACACCAGCAGACGATATTGTTCTGTTTATTATAAGCACACGCTGCGGTTCTGTTGTCTGTCACTTTAAATGCTCGAGGGATGGATTCTGATTGGTTGTCAATATTTGTATCGTACATTAGCTGGAAAAAAGTGATGAAAGTTCTAAAAGTGTTTCATCACGGCTCCAAATAATATCCAATACGTCCATATTAGAAATAAGTCAAGCCAAAGTCACCTTTATCTCTATAGCGCTTTTTACAATACAGATAGTTTCAAAGCAGCTTCACAGGGATAACAGCAAAATAATGCAACAATGTTTCTTTCTGCTGTACAGCAGATCTTGAAGAAAATAGTGTGATAGTCCAGCTTAAGTAAGTTCAGTGATGGTTCAGTTTTGTTGTAAAAAAGTTATTAATGTAGTTTGATTTATATATACAGCCACTCTAGAAAAAACAGTGATGTTATCGTCCAGCTCAGTTGCCAATGCAGGCAGATCAATAATATTGTTGAATATTGAGTGTCCCCAATTAAGCAAGCCAAAAGCCAAAGGCGACAGTGGCAAGGAACAAACTCCATCAGGTGACAGAATGGAGAAAAAAACCTTGGGCGAAACGAGGCTCCGCCGGGGGCCAGTTCTGGCCAATGGATGAACAGTGTATGATTATGATTCAGACAGCATTATAGGTCAGAACTCAGATTGGATCAAAACATTCAGAATATTAATCCAGTTAATCTGGTTGAAGATCGAGTCATCACGCCGGTATGGAGACGAGTTTGTTAAGGATCAGTGCCGATGAGGCAATGTGTTATGCATTTGATGAAATTAGATTAAAACAGTGGCTAATATAAGCCTATGTGAGTTCATTATTTGTGCTGTGGGGTATGTGAAAAATGGCAGTAAAAATAACCATACTTAGCATAATCAGAATGATAAAAATCGCCTGTAAATAAAAGTGAAAAGGTTTGCTCGTGTCATGTAAATATCTTCCTTCCTCTTATTATTGGAAATAATTGCATTATTGGTGCACATGTAAACATTGTCATTGATAATTTTTTTTTAAACAAAACACCTAGGCAGCAAATCATCATATTAGAGTGATTTCTGAAGGATCATGTGACACTGAAGACTGGAGTAATGATGCTGAAAATGCAGCTTTGATCACAGGAATAAATTACAGTACAAAATATATTCATATAGAAAACTTCTTTAAAACAGTAATAATTTTTCACTATATATTTTACTGTATTTTTAATCAAATAAATGAATCCTGGGTAAGCGAGAGAGAATCCTTATATATAAATACACGACTTCTCATGGGGATACAAATAAATATTCCAACTGAGTATTCAATAAACTCTTATTTGATTATGTTCCAGCACAGAGACACATCTCAGAGAGTCATGACGGCCGTCACTTTGAAGCGTTTTCTTCTGGCCCTGCTGACCATCACCCTATCCAGACCCGACTCTGCTTCGATCGGCGTCGCTGAGGAGTTTGAAAGCCGAGATGATGTACTTGAAAGCGAGTTCATGTATGCCGGTCGATCCAAACGCTCCCCGGACCCTCCCAGCGCCTCTGACGTGGACAAATGCTCCTACACCTTCATCGTGCCTCAGCGGAAGACCACAGGTGCGATCTGTGTGAACTCGAAAGAGCCCGAAGCCCTGCTGGAGAACCGCGTGAACAAGCAGGAGCTGGAGCTGCTGAACGGAGAGCTTCACAAGCAGCGGCGTCAGATCGAGACACTACAGCAGCTGGTGGAGGTGGACGGTGGCGTGGTGAACGAAGTCAAGCTCCTTCGCAAGGAGTCGCGCAACATGAACGCCCGAGTGACGCAGCTCTACATGCAGCTGCTGCACGAGATCATACGCAAGAGAGACAACGCGCTGGAGCTTTCTCAGCTGGAGAACCGTGTGCTGAATCACACGTCAGAGATGCAGCATCTAACCGCACGCTATCGGGATCTGGAGCACAAATACCAGAACTTGGCATCGCTTGCGGGAAACCAGAGCGCGCTCATCGCGCAGCTGGAAGAGCAGTGCAGAAGAGGAGGTGTTGGAGCTGGTGTTGTACGACAAGCACGACCGTACCAGCCTCCTGTAATCCCAGCACAGACGCCTCAACATCGACAACCACCTCCACCTCCGGTCCACCATTCCCCCGCCAGGCCTTTCCACCCGCCGACCTACACACGCAACAACCTCCAGATCACCAATGAAATCCAGAGTGACCAAAACGCCAAAGCAATGCCACCAAGTTTACCAACCATAGCCTCTGAAACACACAGCTCCTCAACAGATAAACCCTCAGGTGAGTGTCTCTTCCACAACGAATCAGATGTGAATAAAACAGATGTGGCTACCAGAGATTTACCATAAAAAATATTTTTATAAATTGACAGTATATTTCATGAACTGATAATGTTAATATACAGTACCAACCTACTGAAGTACTAAACTCTGTTATACACTGACAACAACCTTAAAGGGATACTCCACTTTTTTTGGAAATAGGCTCATTTTACAACTCCCCCAGAGTTAAACTGTTGAGTTTTACCGTTTTTGAATCCATTCAGCCGATCTCCGGTTCTGGCGGTACCACTTTTAGCATAGCTTAGCATACATCATTGAAGTGGACAAGACCATTAGCATTTCTCAAAAAAAAAATGACCAAAGAGTTTAGATATTTTTCCTATTTAAAACTTGACTCTTCTGTAGTTACATCGTGCACTAAGACCGACGGAAAATGTAAAGTTGCGATTTTCTAGGCTGATATGGCTAGGAACTATACTCTCATTCCTGCGTAATAATCAAGAAACTTCACTGCCGAACCATGAGAGTAGCAGGCGTAATGATATGACGCAGCTGGGGACTATTTTCAGGCGCTACGTCATATCATTACGCCTGCTACACTCATGGTACGGCAGTGAAGTTTCTTGATTATTACGCAGGAATGAGAGTATAGTTCCTAGCCATATCAGCCTAGAAAATCGCAACTTTACATTTTCCGTCGGTCTTAGTGCGCGATGTAACTACAGAAGAGTCAAGTTTTAAATAGGAAAAATATCGAAACTCTTTGGTCTTTTTTCTTTTTTGAGAAATGCTAATGGTCTTGTCCACTTCAATGATGTATGCTAAGCTATGCTAAAAGTGGTACCGCCAGAACCGGAGATCGGCTGAATGGATTCAAAAACGGTAAAACTCAACAGTTTAACTCTGGGGGAGTTGTAATATTAGCCTATTTACAAAAAAAGTGGAGTATCCCTTTAAAAGCACAGGTGAGGAAGAAGAAAAAAGACATGATGAATCAAAGTTCATAAGTGAAGTGAAGTCAAGTCACCTTTATTTATATAGCACGTTTTACAATTCAGATTGTTTCAAAGTAGCTTTACAGTGATAACAGGAATATAACGCAACAGTTTGTTTCTAGAAGAAAATAGTGTCATATTCCACTCCAGCTTAAGTAAGTTCAGTGATGGTTAATTTTTGTTGTAAAAAAGTTATTCATTTAGTTAATTAATATATATAGCCGTTCTGGAGAAAACCGCGATGTCATCGCCCAGCTCAGTTCTTATATAATGGTGTCAATGCAGGCAGATCAATAATATTGTTAAATATTAAATGTCCCCAATTAAGCAAGCCAAAACCCCAAAGGCGACAGTGGCAAGGAACCAAAACTCCTTCAATAAACTCCTAATTACTGCTTATTAATAATTAGTACGGTAGTTGTTGAGTTTAGGTAGTGGGTAGGATTAAGGGATGTAGAATCCGGTCATACAGAATAAGGCCTTAATATGTGCTTTATAAGTACTAATAAACAGTCAAAATCCTAGTAATATGCATGCTAATAAGCAACAGTTAAAAGTGAGAATTGGACCCTAAATTAAAGTGTTACCATATTAGATGCACATTGTCATACACAAATACAAAACACCATGATGGAAACACTTAAATATGCAATGACACTAAAATAATGCAATAAACAATAATTGAACAACATAACATAAGAAATAACCCTAATGCATATAATAAATAATACTGTTTTCCCTGTACATTATAAGATGACTTGTTCTGTTTCACTTACTGTAAATGTAACAGTATTGGTATTGTGGTATTGCTTGTTTGATATTTACAATGCTCTCCAAATGTTTAAAGAACAAATTGTTAAAGAAAACCATTCCCTTACAAAAATCATGACGCAAGTCTCCACAAGGCAAACTTCTGCAAAGCATTTTGTGTACGCAACAGGATCAGCGTGACTAATGAGAAACATCTAAACATTACACAGCCAGCAATCTTCCTTTTCTTGCAGCGTTTCAGCAGATTTACAAGGTTAATTGTCTTTTGCACACTGAGTATGATAAATAAGTATGGATATGCATAAGTGGTTTGGTTACATCAGTGGTTCCAAAGAAAACAGCTCAAAGGTTCAGCGACACAAGCAACATGGAGACACGTGGATTTCCCTGCCGCTGATCCCGCCAGAGCGCTTGGCCTCCGTCCCATTACAACACAATCATTTGGCAACATATCTTCTGAACTAAGAGTTCACATTAATCTTTGGAGGAAAACCCTCCAAGACACGAACCACTTTAAAGTCCTTAAACAGGGGATTCCAGACACCATTCGGTAAACTTCTACAGTGAGATCTGTGCTTTGCTGTAAGAGGTTTAAGTATTGCTTACTCTTCTGCTATGTGGGTATTTCTATGAGGGATAACTGAGCAGATCAAATATGGAAGTATGAATGAAACGCAGTGAAGGAATGTAAATGACGGGGTGATGGTAAATCTATAAACTTTCCTGAAATCTTCCTCACAATATCACCAAAACACACATGCATACTATATCCACAGCAGTGAAAACACATGCATACTATATCCACTGCAGTGAACACACATGCATACTATATCCACAGCAGTGAACACACATGCATACTATATCCACTGCAGTGAACACACATGCATACTATATCCACTGCAGTGAACACACATGCATACTATATCCACAGCAGTGAACACACATGCATACTATATCACACATGCATACTATATCCACTGCAGTGAACACATATGCATACTATATCCACTGCAGTGAACACACATGCATACTATATCCACTGCAGTGAACACACATGCATACTATATCCACAGCAGTGAACACACATGCATACTATATCACACATGCATACTATATCCACTGCAGTGAACACACATGCATACTATATCACACATGCATACTATATCCACTGCAGTGAACACTCAAGCATACTATATCCACTGCAGTGAACACACATGCATACTATATCCACTGCAGTGAACACACATGCATACTATATCCACTGCAGTGAACACACATGCATACTATGTCCACTGCAGTGAACACACATGCATACTATATCCACTGCAGTGAACACTCACGCATACTATATCCACTGCAGTGAACACACATGCATACTATATCCACAGCAGTGAACACACATGCATACTATATCCACTGCAGTGAACACACATGTATACTATATCCACTGCAGTGAACACACATGCATACTATATCCACAGCAGTGAACACACATGCATACTATATCCACTGCAGTGAACACACATGCATACTATATCACACATGCATACTATATCCACTGCAGTGAACACACATGCATACTATATCCACTGCAGTGAACACACATGCATACTATATCCACTGCAGTGAACACACATGCATACTATATCCACTGCAGCCGTCTGTAAATTCATCTTGTCGCCCGGTTTTCTTTTTAACATGCCTTTAAATCACGCCTCTGGAAGTTATTAGCAAGTTTTTCACCCACAACAAACAACTGCAGAGTGCTAATGTGCTTCATTTTAACAGATTCACGCACACTTAACAACATGTAATGGGTCAGTTGACTCCACGATTCTAATAAATATCCCACACTGCATTAGTAATACAGCTTTTAAAATACTTACATGCTACTTTATCACATGCACGACACATTTAATCTTAGTTTCCACAGGCAACAGAAGAGTCAGCAACATCGTGTGCAGAGAAAATTGCCATTTACACATAAATGCCATTTAATGATATGCAAAATATACATTATAGATTGCTCCTCTATTGTAAGTAGCTTTGGATAAAAGCGTCTGCTAAATGCATAAATATAAAACATCAGGCATTTAGCAGATGCTTTTATCCAATAGCATGTGAAAACGCCTGAGGATGGAAAACTTCCAATGTAAACAAGTCCTTAAATGCATGAAAAAGGGCTGATGAACAATCGTCAGAAACTTCAAAGCAAATGAAAGAAATACAGAAGGTCCTTTCAAAAAGAGATGAGTGCTTTCAGCGCAGACTGTGAGTAGCTCTTACTCACGAGATGAGAAGCTTCTTGCTCATCAATAGTCTGGAAAATGATCCGGTCACAAGCAGATTGAGTCTTACCCTTTTGATATCCTAATGCTGGATTATTATTCAACAATAAAACTCATAATCTGAAATGAAATGTCAAAACAGCTGTCACAGAAAGACAAAAAGCAGAAAAGTCTGAGACAAATCAAAACACAAACTGTGACAAATCAGATTCCTCCGCAGAGATTCCAGTGTATTTTTCTATTGCGTTTTGGAGAAAATCAACAAATGAAAGGTAATTTGAGACTGAAACTTCAATGAATGTTCTCTGAAACCGGCTGACCCTCAGATGAATGTCTCACTATAATCTGGAACATTTATTAGAGTATAAGTATGATATCAATCCGGCCTGACTCACGGAAGTGAATCTCGACTGATGACGTACAATTTGCATGCTGAAACCTAATATAGTTTAATGCATTTCTCACAGCTGTTTTTGTATAAATTGCTTTTGCAAATAGCTCACTTTCTATCTCTTGAAATGTATCCACAGCAGACACATAAGACCAATAAATAAAAAAAACAAAAACCTAAAACGTTTAAATTAAGACGCTTCACATCTCTAGTCGCTGTGTGTCACTGCATTGGTACTCGCTGGGATGAGAAACCTACTACGCAAACCAACTAAAACTTTTTGTGGAAATCTGAATGCAATCCGTCTGTTTCTAAAAGGTACATTTGGTGTGATCTTACTTCAACAGAAGCCCTCATCCAGCATCTTCCACCAAATTTATTAGCTACCAAATAAAAAAAAGAAAAGAAAAGCAAACAGTCCTTAACATTCAGACCCCCGAGAGACCAGAAGATGTGGAAACAATAACCTGAAGTATCCCGTCTGAGAACAGAGGCACTGGCGAAAGTGTGATTTGGCTCTTGGACTGAAGCTTGTTAGCTCATTAGACAGCTTTACAGGGAAGCTCGAGGTTCTGTAATGGCAGCGGTCAGAAGCAGAGAGTGCATGTTCATTATCTAGATGATTTTCCATCTCCTTAGGGCAGTTTTTAACGATGCACAAAAAGGTGTGGAGAGCATGCAGTCATAATGAAAACAGCATTGCCTCAAATGTGCTGCTGGAAACTTGTGAGTCCAGGTGAGAAAATAACATCTCAGTTTCAACGGTTGCATAAGTGCTGTCAAAAAAGATATGACTATATCCACTCCTCAGGTAACATAAAAAAAAAGCACTCAAATGACTATAAACGTGTAACAAATGTTTTTTTAGTATTTTTAATTGGTAATAACATTACTTGGCTTTTTTGCCTTGTAATACACCTTAAAAAGCATTGTATGGTCTCATGAATAATTGTAACAATATAATATAACATTATAATACTTATCTATTCATTATTACACGTATAGAAAGTATAATGCATTAACAGACAAACCAATTTTAGATGTAAATCTGCAAATATTGTAATGCATTTTCTTACATTATAGTTATACTGTACATAAAGGCATAACATAAGATTCTGTGCAATTTCTCGACTGTTTTCCATGGAAAAACTCACAGCTGTCAATGAGACTAGGGCTTAAGTTAATGGTCTGATGTCAGTGAGCATGAGCGTGGCACTTTACAGGCTCATGCATACAATACAAGTTTAGTAAACATGTGATGTTCACACATAATATATCCTAAAATCCAATAGCCTCAACACAATTGTAACACATCAAACTCAATGGAAACCATTGTTTTCACAAAAGAAAACAAGCTCCTGGAGGTCCTGGCCTATGCTCATCAATATGTGACTCTCTTTCGCAATTCTGTTCTTTTAGAAAGGCAAACTGGTCTCAGAAACAGCTAGTGATATACACATGTAATAAACAGCAGCTTTGAACCACATCTGAATTGATTTCAACATAAAATTCAGAGATGCTGTAGAGAAGAACCATGCATTCAATAATGCACGTGTTTGCTTTCTATACAGGACCGTTCAAAGACTGCTTACATGCTCTAGAAGACGGACACACCAACAGCAACATGTATCTACTGAAGCCGGAAAACACCAACAAACTGATGCAGGTCTGGTGCGACCAGAGACACGACCCCGGCGGCTGGACCGTCATTCAAAGACGCATGGACGGATCGGTCAACTTCTTCCGAAACTGGGAGACATATAAGGTCAGAAACATGTTTATGTTCATTTGCTTGTGTAGAAACATTGTCTGCCAACGTCCAACACCAACAAATAGATCATGCAAATAAAGACGTGATCATGAGCTCATGCATGCATACGTCATCGCTCAGAATATAATGCTTCTGATCTGTATCATTGGATAACAGCATGAACTCCCCTACTTCCCTCAGTCATGGTTAGTTAACGTAATGAAACGCACATTGCTCTGAAATCTGCTATTCGTGCATGGAGAAACTTCCATGACAAAATGTCTTAACCGGTCAGACTCTCAGCAAACTGCAGCTTTGTGCAGTTTCTGAATTCATTGCTTTTCAAACGTCAATGGAATTCGGTTATGCAAGATGGGCAAGGTTTCCAAACTAGGGCCAGGGCTTTTCCAGGGCTTTGTCCACACAAACACTGCCTGACGAAAACACTCTGTCGATGTCATTAGAGCCCGGAATTACAATCAGGACTAGACGTAACGAGCCAATGTCTAGGGAAATATTGTAATGACTATATTAAAAAAAGCACTAAACTAATTATATAATGAATGATTTTTTTTTTAATGCAAAAAAAAGTTTTTGGGTAGCCAGTCATAAAGAATAATAAATAAGAATAAAGCTACAAATTATGCTGGTCAAAACATTACTGTGAGCGAGTGAAAATGCATTCATAAAACCGATAACTTTCCTCTCTCTCGCTCTCTTTTTCTTTCCAAGAAGATAAATTCAAGAAGGGATTTTTCATTGAATTGAGGACTCATAGTGAAAACATCGGTCACGCTATGAAAAGGATAAAATGGCATTTGGCATCAATAATCTCAAACCTTGCATGAAGCATCAATGTGCCACTTGCAATGTGAATGTTGCGTAAAGATTCTTTAACATTTCTCCATTGTGTTCCATGGAAAAACTAACAGCATTCAGGTTTGGAATGACTTGCGGGTGAGGAAATAATGAAAGAATTGTATTTTCTGGATGAACAATTTCTTTAAACAATGACTAACACAACAGCAGTCTGGAGTGATGATTTATTACATGCATCAATACATTCTGTGACGCTATACTAGGTGTTGAGCTGGCTTGTCTCTGACGTAACGTGTAATTTCTGTCCGCCGACAGCGAGTCACATGCGTTCTCAGGTGTTTTAGATACTGTGGTCAGACCTGCTTCCTCTGAATGAATGATTAACCCTAACATCGAGGCCGCTAAATACAAACACATGTACGATGTCGGAGGAGGTCTTTTAAAATTCAGGATCTGGCAAAGTGTTTTGAAAGAGCATTGTAGAACTTTAAGATTTACTGTTTCCCTATATAGTTTATTTGATAATCAAGAGGTTTCCGCCAGTTCTTGTTCTGTTTATTGTAAGTCTACTGAGCATAAAGAATCCTGCTGAAGAGTCGGAGATTTCTACAGCACGACCAGATCTAAAAAAATGTATTCGCATCAGACATTTCACTCATTTTAGCACGGTTATTGGATGTTGTTGTTAAATTAATTTACTTCATTCCTGAATGAATCAGCCGTTTGAACGAGTTGAATTAATTATTTAATGACTTACTCATTAAGACATTTACCAACACTTACTGGCAGTTTTGGCAATTTCATAAAAAAAAAATGTTTTTATATTTCCATATTAATTAAAAAAAACATTAAAGGTATAGTTCTCCCAAAAATGACAAATCTTCATTCATCATTTACTTTGAAGCCTAACATTTTATGTGTAATAAATTCTAATGTAGAATCAAATAAAATATTTGATACTTTTTGTAATGTCTATTTGATGCTTTTCTCATTTAAAGGGGTGGTTGATTATGATTGCACTTTTCTAACTTTAGTTAGTGTGTAATGTTGCTGTTTGAGCATAAACAACATCTGCAAAGATACAACGCTCAAAGTTCAAAGGAAAGGGAGATATTTTCTTTTACAGAAATTGCTTTTTAAGGACTACAACAAACGGTTGGTAGGGACTACACCACATTCCTCCCGGGTTAGTGACATCACTAACTCTAAAATTTACATAAACCCCGCCCCCGGAACACGATTTATATATAATCAAGACAGAATATGCTAATCAATGACTAGAAGATATCTACACATAAGCTACATAAATTCATCAACTAACCATTCAGAAATGTTGTCTACATGTTGTCACTTCTTGAGTCTCTCCATCTTTCTGACTCTGGTTTGAACATAAAAGCCTAAAACTTTTTGAAAGTCTGTATGAGGTCATTAAAGCTGCTAAGAATGAGCTGTTGAAGCTCCGCCCTCTGTCCCGGGAGCAGCAGCTCATTTGCATTTAAAGGGACACACAAAAATTGTGCGTTTTTGCTCACCCTCAAAAAGTGAAATTTTTAAATGCTATATAAAAATATCTGTGGGGTATTTGGAGCTAAAACTTCACATACAGACTCTGCGGACATCAGAGATTTATTTTACATCTTGTGAAAATGGCATTATACCACCCCTTTAAGACATAATGACTTTAAATTATCTTTAAAGGGGTAATTTCTCAGCCACATTTGATGTGCTAATTAACTAATAGACTAATTAATCACCACATTGTGTAATGAATTATATTAAAAATTGTAATCGCTTGACAGCCCTATGTATGTAAAAAAAAAATATTAAACCGTGGTAACATCAATATGATGAAAGACAAAACAATATAATCAACTCGCTACTTTGAATCATCAAATTACATTTTTTTTCTTTCTCTTTTCTAATTTAGCAAGGATTTGGGAACATCGATGGTGAATACTGGCTTGGTTTGGAGAACATCTATTGGCTGACCAACCAAGGCAACTATAAGCTGCTGGTGACACTCGAGGACTGGTCAGGCAGAAAGACGTTCGCAGAATACGCCAGTTTCCGGTTGGAGCCAGAGGCGGACTTCTACAAGCTGAAGGTGGGCCGTTACCATGGAAACGCCGGAGATTCGCTCACCTGGCACAACGGGAAACAGTTCACCACCTTAGACCGAGATCATGACGCGTACGCAGGTATCAGAGCAATTCTGTCCGTATCACAACCAACTTCTATACAGAGATCTTTGCATAGTTTCATTGTCCAATAAGGGCTAAAAATGTACTAACGCTACAGTGCTGCAGAAATGAGTACTAAAACCCAGAAACTGGGAGTTCAAAAACGCAGTCAATGGGTTTTGTTGAAGTCATGCAACTGTGGTGTAGTTCCTTACAGCCAAACTTTAGCTTTTTACTTCGTCATTAAGGCTTCAAAATTCATTTGTGAAGATTATCTTGATGAACAAAACTGTTGTTGTTCGTTTAGATTATTTTCTGCAATAATCCAAAAGCCAACTGGCTGGAAGTAAAGCGAACCAGGATGATTCCAAATTCCGGGTTGCAAACAAAATGACATCATCACTGCAGCATTCTAAATAGAATCAGTGTGTAACAGTGTGGAATTCTATATCAAAATACAAAAGTCACAGTTTTCACTAACTCAAGCCTCATTTCCTCTCATACAGGAAATTGTGCCCACTATCAGAAGGGTGGTTGGTGGTACAACGCCTGCGCCCACTCCAACCTGAATGGCGTGTGGTACCGCGGTGGGCATTACCGCAGCCGCTACCAGGATGGAGTTTACTGGGCCGAGTTCCGCGGTGGCTCGTATTCCTTGAAGAAGGTCACTATGATGATCCGGCCAAATCCCAACACTTTCCATTAGAAACATCACGTGAAGGAAAATGCTAAATCTAACATGCCGTAACTCAAAAGACGTTGTAAATAGTGCATTGTTAATGTTATTTTTGTATTGATCGTTATGAGGCTTATGAATTCTTAATATGCAGTCATACATATCCAAAATCCAAAAATATGACTTCATGAAGGAGACACGACTTTTTGGGTTTCCTGGAGACAGAGGTCCCAATGGTGTCCAGGCTCTGTGGACAATAAAGAGCAAGTGAAAAGCTAGTAAAACTTTACAATCTTCAGTCAGACGAACCTGGCAACGTGACCTGAAGCTGGACAGCATCGTGTGCGTCATTACAAGTGCGCTTAAAATGGGGGTATATGTTTACCTGATCTTAACAGGCACCTAACCTCATTCTCACTGTAAGAAGTCTAACCTTGAAGAAAAGAACTGTTAGTTTGAGTTTACATTAGTGCTGTAAAACACAATATGTTGTGTACTAACCGAGGAATTTAAACAGTTCAAATTATTCAGTTCTCATACCATTTTATCCATTTATAGCATTGAATTTCAAAAAAGGGTACGTTGCAATTGTGCCCTGTGAAGTGGACTACACAGGATTTTTGGACGTCTAAAGGGGATTTTATATGCAAAAAAAAATCAACATTTAAAAGTAAATTTAGCCTAGTTATTGTGTATGCATCTATTTACCATCTAAATTAAGAGATGTGAATTGGCCGATTAACACATTTAAATCACAAATGTGAAGCCTCCGTAAACTTCAATGACTCAGCTAAATTTAGTAGCACAAATGCAAAGTCTCTTCCTCATTTGATCCGTTTATAGCTTTTACTTCCAATAAAAGGTAAATTGCAACGGTGCCCTGGGAAGTGAACTACACAGGAATTTTGGACATCTTACAGGGATTTTTGGTGTTAAAACTCAAATTTAGTCTAGTTATTGTGTATGCACCTATTTACAAGCTAAATTGTAAATAAAGAGACACGAACTGTCTAAACTAACATTTAAATCCCAAAAGCGAAGCCTCTGTAAACTTCAATGACTAGGCTAATTTTAGTAGCACAAACGCAAAGTCTCTTCCTTATTTGATCCATTTATACTGTAGCATTGACTTTTAATGATGTGTACTGTTGCAGTTGTGCCCTGACAAGTGGACTATACACAGGATTTTTTGACATCTTAAAGGGATTTTTCAGGCAACAATAAAAATTCTGCCAACATTTAGAGGTAAATTGAACCTAGTCATTGTGTATGCACCTATAGTTAAATTGTAAATTAAGAGACATTTAAACCACAAACACAAAGCCTCTGCAAGCATCACAAAAGATGTGTGTCTTGTATATTACTGACTATTTTAATGTACTGTAACAGCATTCATGTCCATGAATGATTTCACTCATTTGAGTCCTGTTTGGAAACCATCTGTATAAACAGTAGAAGCTATGACCCTGTTTACACCTGGTATTAAAATGTGTGTTTTAGTTCGATCGGATCACAAGTAGACGAGGGAGACACATTCCTGTTAACACCTGGGGCCCTATCTTGCACCCGGCGCAAATGACTTTGTACACTGACGCATGTATCATTCCTATTTTGCACCCGCGCAAAGCGGACTTTTCCCTCCACAGGCGCACGTCGGTAAACTAGGAAATTAACTTGCGCTCCCTGGGCGGGTCGGCGCAAAAAGGAGGCGTGTTTCGGCGCAAACATTCCCTAGTGCTATTTTGCAGTTCCAGAAAACAATTGCGCCACTGACCAGAAAAAGCCTAGTCTAAAGTCAGTGGCGCGTCGCGCGTTGTTCATAATGCTATTTTAAGCGCGCATGCTTGGCCATAATGTAACGGGTGCACAACGCGCATACACTTGGATTCTCTCATCAACACAGATGCAGCAGTTTTTATTTTTGCAAATCATACATTATAACAAGGAAAAATATTAACACATGAGGGAAATCATTGTGGTGTCCATGAAGATGTAAAAAAAATTAGGCCTAAATCTAGCTTACACATTTACCCACATTTTTCAGGCTAATTGTAGTAATGACGGATCAGACCTGTTTGCCCAATAGTGGCAAGACACATATGTATATAAGGACATCTGACAAATGAGTTTGTCCGTCAAGAACCAGGAAAAAAAAAAATCGGTCTCCTCGGCTGTGAACCGCTCCTAGCGTGCCAGGTAAATCCGCCATAATAATAACAATCCGCCATGCAACATGCGCACCTGCTCTTAAAGGGTATGCTGGATGACGCTCTGATTGGTTTATTTCACGTGACGCCCAAACCACTATGAATAATGAAGCTTATTCAGACCAACCCCTTTTAAACTTGCGTCGGGCGCAAGAGTCATTTATCCCGCCGGTAAAATAGCAACAGACTTGCTTACAAAGTTACTTGCACTTCGAGCTTGATACGTGCGTTTCAGATCGTTAAAATAGGGCCCCTGGTGTTTTAATCCGCCTCTTTTGTCCATTTTTGACCACTTCTGTCCTGATTTCTTCGAGGGGAGGGTCTACAGGTGGGTAAATCTATGGGCTTTTTCAGATCTTTCAATCTAATGGACGAAATAAGCTCCTGGAATTTACATATGAACACGACCAGAGAACAAGCACAAAACTTTTAGACCCAGTTTACACCTGTATTTAACATCGTCCACTTGTGATCCAATCGACCAAAACGCATCTTAATACCAGGTGTGAACAGGGCCAATGAGCGAGTTTGTTTTTGTAACTCAAAGTATGGTTGTGTTTATACTTACAGAATGTTCCAATAAATGATGTACAGCTACTGCAGTTTTGCTCTTTTGTGATAAACTGCAAAAGACAAGACTTGCACTATAGACTACATTACAGTAAACATGAGAGACGAGTCGAGAACGACTAACAGATGGACTGAGTTCAAAGCTCAATGTGTTCGTTTGTTCAAGCCTCTAAAGGTCAAAGGCTCTAAGGGCCCTACGGGAGACTCAGTGTTTGTCCTGTAAGAGAACAATCCCAATACTTTGCTGCTCAAACATCTTGGTTGTTATGAATGAAAAAGGGTGTCTTTAACATTCGTTTCCAAATGAGGAAAACCTTGTTAATGGCTGGAAAATACATTAAAATCAGTATTAATATCCATCTACTCACTAGTCGCTTTCACAGCCATGTTGTGTTTACACTCACGCTCTTGCAAACTAATCCAACTCAAACTTTCTAACTTGTAGATTGTATTTAGGCTTTAAAAATTCATAAAAGTTGCATTAATTTGCGAAGATTATCTGGATAATGCATATATTATTATGCAGGTCACAACAAAAGTTATAAACTTTGAAATAAAATGCCATTTGCAACACATTTTACTTCTGTGTTTCCAATTGAAACAGGACTTAAAAATAAGGGTGGAATTGAATTTATTAATAAGAAATTAACTGAACTGTAAAAAGTATCTCGGAAGTCCTTAGAATAACATGCATCAGTGCATCATGATGGAAGCCTGTATTAAGAAAGTAAAAATAAGATTACTTTTCAATTCATGCCGACTTTAAAATGAATGTAAACCAGTTGTGGAGTGGTTGGAAAGTGAGTGCACAGCTAAATAAAACGTTTTTGAGATACTAGAACTATGAACAGACGATGATGGCTTTTGTGGCAGCAGTGCGCAAGCCATCATTTTGCTCATGTTTACCGTAAGCAGACAAAAAAAGAGCGAACAACACACTGATTGTTCAGCATGACATGGAATTTTAATACTCTGAATACCATGAGCTGGGTCACATCAACACATGAAGGTATAAGTGAGTTTATGCACAAAGCATGACATTGCCCTGGGTCAGTCAGTTCTCATACTAAACATCCCTTGTTTTCTGGTTTATTCTTTGAAGCTTTTTTGTAGGGCAGCCAATCGATTTAATATTTTCAGCAAAGTAATTACATGATATGATGATTATTATCTAGCTTGCTTCCAAATCTAGTTATGTAATAAACCTGGCATTGTATATTACAAATATCATTGGCTCTTTGGAGAATTGCTTGTGTTCCTCTTTAGCAAGTCACTTTGGACAAAAGTGTCTGCTAAATGTAGTGATGTATGTCTCGAGACCGGTTTTTACGTGGTCTCGGTCTTGTCACGGCCTTAACGGTCTTTGGTCTTGGTCTTGGTCTCGGACCTCTTGGTCTTGTCTAGGTCTCGCTGTCTCAGACCGACATAGTGGTCGGGGAATTTAGCAATACCATACTACAATATCCACGACGATATCCGCAACGGATTGAAGCACACGTCCGAGTGAAGACAGTGCGGTGTGCGCGAGCCACGCGAGAAAACACAGTATCCGCGCCACTGATCGCAGCGGCAACAAGCACTTTGATCACTTGATTTAAAAAAAACATATCATGTACAGTTTTTGATGTATTAATATTTAGTAAAACACATATCAGTGACATGATGGGTTTTAACTTCATTCAGGAGATTTTGGGTAACTGCACAACTGACAAAAGACTTTGAGCGCACCGCCAACGGTGTGTGTGTGTGTGTGTGTGTGTGTGTGTGTAACCATAGCGACAAAAATACCAACTTTTGGATCCTGCACTTAAGCCTATAATTTCGTTTTTAAAAATATAATTATGTATTAAAAAGTTGCAGAATGGATTTATTTGGAGACTTCGAAATCAGCAGAGATAGGCAGGCAATGCAAAACAAAATCTTGCAAGTTATTGCTTAGCGTCAACAACACTAGTCTGTTTTTTTCCCCTCCGGTCTCAACTTGGTCTTGGTCTCGATACCCTCTGGTCTTGGTAGTGTCTTGGTCTCGGTTTAGGCGGTCTTGACTACAAGTCTAGCTAAATGCATAAATTCAGTTAATTAAGCAAATCAAAATGAGAAAAAAGCCACCAAAAGATTGCAATTGCCAATATTGCGATTCAATTTTACCTCATGTAAACGCAATACCTCGATCTAATGCAAACTAAAAACTATGCCTATCTGAGTGTGGTATAACCATACTTATTAGCAAATAATCAGAATAATGAAAATTGCATGTAAACTGGAGTGAAGAGTTCTGCTTGTGTCATGTAAATATCTTACTGCGATTAAAACATTACTCAAATTAAATAATGCCATTATTGGTGTACATGTAAACATGGTCATTGAATGCCAATCTCACCTACAGTACACAGTCAACTATTTTACAATCAAACTGGTCAATGCGTCCAAGATTTAAGGGCCGTTAATGAAAATTGTGTTCTTTCTTTCTTTTATCTTCACTAAGCAAACATTAAAAGCACCACTTTTTAGTCCAAAAAACAACTTTAAACTCTCAAACAACACTCCCACAGACATGTCGCATGCACGCATGGAAACAATGCTGTTTCAGTGTTTCTCCATGCCTGCCAATTATCATCTCAATTGCACATAAAAACTACAATGGTGGTTGCTTACGTTACAAGTCACACAAACAATATCTTACTGTCCAAGTAAACGGTTCTTGATTCCAGATTGAGCTGCTAAGGATGTTTATCCTTTTTAGTGTATGATGTTCAGTCAAAGGTTTGGCTATGCAAAACTACCATGTGATGCCAATGCCAATAACAAAACTGCAAAAACATGAGCATGTCCAAGAAAGGTTGTCAAAATGTCAAGTTATCAAAATATCATTTCTCAGACAATCCT